AGCCGGTATTTAAATTATCTGAGACGAATCTAGTGGGCTGCAGATGCCTAAAAACAAATAGTCCGGTGAACAACAGATGTAACTCAAGGGTCAGTACCAGGGTCTCTTCAATTCACGGAGCGGAACAGTATCTAAATTGCATCAGTATATGGTCGAAGTGAATTGAATATATGGCCTATAGTTTGTTGGCTTGAGTAGCTACAATTAATGCGTCAGCACAGAAATCGTTAGATTCAGGGTTAGCACCATCGTATGAGACGAGCAAAGGTTATTTTTTAATACACGATGCGATGTGTTTGTAATAACCTCGCAAATGTATGACACGACCTTAACGTATTGTAGATAGAGTATGGAAGTCTTAATATAACTCTTCTTATCTCATCTTATGTTCCTCTCTTTATTTCCTAGATCGACAGCGAATGAAGACAAAAGAATGCCGACTTCCCGCTTAGTGCGTTAGCAATCAACTTTGACATTAAACAATCACCCGACAAGCATCTCATCATGACGTCACACGTTGGCTGCGTGTCGTCTGCGCGTTGATCGAGCCGGCATTTTATTTACGTTTCTTGCCAGTTGGAGAAAGTCGAGATCAACCAGATACGATCATAATGCAAAAATCATTCACGCAAAAGTCTTGATAACGGAGTATTTACTGTACGTTCTTCGACAGCAGATGGCCTAGGAGAACGTGTCTAAAATAGAATTATTAGCTATCAATGACCAATTTTAGACTGCAGTATGGTCATATTCGGCGCTCAGCTTATTTTTACATTTACAAAAACAAAATATTCTTTGAATGTCTGAGATATCTATAGCCTTTTTATATGTTTTATTTAAAATTTGGCAAACTGATCAGAACTGTTTTTATATCTGGCGTGTTTTGCACGTGTTCTGCAGGGGTGGGATATTCGGCCTAAGCATAGATTAATTGTGGAATTTGGGAGTCGATTTGAGTTTATTTAACGAATCAATATGTTGACCATTTTTAACTATGCCCTTCTCGCCTTTAAAAAAAGACAAAGTTCATTTTCGCCCTTTCGTCTGCATTTTACACTTGTTCAAAATCTCCAGATGGTCTCATTTTCGGAAGGGTATCATCACGGTAGCTAAGTGGGTAAGACGCTGGCTCGCTAGTCTGGAGGTTGGGTGTTCGATCCCTGCATTGGCCGAGAAAGTTCATCCAGATTTTCTGGCGTGGTTGTCCCCCTTGTCAGTGGTGCAGGACAGAGGGGCTGACAAGAACAGCTGTTTAGTCGTTCGGGTGGTACGAAATACCGAGGTCCCGTGTACACATTGGCGTGCACGTAAAAGATCCCTTGTCAGTTGGAATTCGATATAAGACCTACCGTAGTGCTGCTGTCCGGGCTATATTTCCCTCATAGCACACTTCATTAGCCCAGTTCGAAGCACAACAGTAGGACGTTAAACCCCATTTCATTTATTTTTATTTCATTGTCGGAATTTCTTATTGTCAACTTAGTAAATACTATATTCCTGAAGCATCGAGTTCTCTCCTTCAAAACAAGAAGGCGAGAAAAAAATTGTCAGTGGCCAATTCTTCCCTTTCTTTACACGGAAGCCACTCTCTCGCTAACTTGGAGCTCCAGTGATCGATCGATTCATGTGTTGACCGAGGAAGTTCATCGGGATTTTCCAGCGTGGTTCTTCTTATCAGTGGTGTAGGACGGAGGGTATGGCATGGGACAATGTATTTTTGTTCGGATTGTACGAAAAGCCCGTAAAAGATCCCTTGGCAGTTGGAATTCAAATAAGAGTAGGCTTTAGTGCCGGTATCTGTGCAATATCCCCCATAGCACACTGTATGACGTATGCCCGTCTTCATTAGCCCAGTTCGGAGCAGAACACTAGGACGTTAAACCCCATTTCATTTCATTTCCGTCCAACTTTTGGACGCATATACTGGACATTTCTGAAAATTATAATTCCAATTTGTTATAGTGTCAGGATTTACTTTGTAATTATAACAATGCCAAGGAATCTGATCTGATCAATTCGGAATAATATTAATGGAATGATAATAACATATAGGTTTCATCAAACTGGGTCTACAGTAATAAAAACCTTCTAACTTCTGGACGCAGATCTGAAGACGTCACTGAAATGTGAACGGTCAATTTCAATTGGCTCTAGCGTCAGAAGTTACCTTTGAACAGTAACAATGCAGACGAATGGTGAAATTCATGATATTCGCGCATTCCATGAGAAAAATAAAATGAAATGGGGTTTAACGTTCTACTGTTCTGCTCCTACTGAGCTAATGATAAGGGCATACGCCGTGTACCCATGAGAAAATAAAATAGCTTCTGTACTTCCGGTTACGTAATTGCGTTGTATATTTTGTCTGTGCATGGTTGTCTTGAAACTATATAAACTAAAGGGTTGATTTATTTACATAAATTAACTAAATGAACCGCCATCTGTATCCACTCTGTATATTTATAAACACCGTCGTTAAACACAGCTGACGGCAGGTAAAACACAACGTGCCTTCATTCTTTCCTTTGACTGATAGCACGAAATCTTCCCATAATTTGAAATCTGGCCGGTCTGTAATGATAACTTTTGAATCATGACTCAACGAGAGGTAGATTGAATAAACTTTCTGGAATGAAAACCAATCGCTTTTACGATCTTCAGAAACAAAACCACTTTATTTCATTCAGCAGGCAATATCATATTCGTTGGGGGGGGGGGGGGGTATACATGTGGATCTAGATTTTTCGAAAAAAGAGGTGTAGAAGGGATGGGATTCGGTGCGAGAAAATCGTTTAAGCATATAAGTTGAAGCATATAAATCCGCTGCTGTTGTTGGTGGGGGGTGGGGGGGGGCTGGGTGTGAACTATGAATATAACCAAACATGACGTAATCGCCGCCATATTAGAATTATGACGTCATATAAAAAATTGCAATTGACCAAGGAACAGGCAAGCCAAGTTGCATGTCGATCGTACTTCAACTGGCAGATTCCAAATGTCCGTGGTTCTTTTACGTGCACGCGAATATGTTCACGGGACCTCGGTTTTTGGTACAATCCTAACGACTAAACGTTGTTCTTTGCCAGACCCCACATCCTGCACTACTAATAAGGGGGAAACACGCCGGATTATCCTAATGAACGAACGAACGCGGGGCCTCCAGGTTTGCGAACCACCGTGGCTCCCTGTTTAAAAAAGCCCCCCCCCCCCCCCCACACACACACCATTAGATAATCATTGAATGTAAGTAAATGAGTAGAATATAATATCTATCTTTACAGTTGGTAGCATGTTTTAACCAGGTGTGGGGATATATCTTAGTATGTCTAATTTCCCTTTATAGCTCTCAATAACACGGCTATACCGTCAGTATATTGACCCTAGTGACGTCATCAGTTGTTACAGGCATCAAGCCACATATACTTGACAGATGTAGTCGTTTGTCAGGTAAAAAGATTATTAATAATATAAATACTGTACGTAATAAATCAGAGAGAGAGAGAGAGAGAGAGAGAGCGAGAGAGAGAGAGAGAGAGGGGGGATAAATACTGTACGTAACAAACACTAGCATTTGCGCAGTGTTCTTTATTCTAGATGGAGGAAATCTACCCGATTGTACACGAGTGTTGAATCGTACCCATGGCAATTGTATAGGGTGGGTGGAGTCGTAGAGTTGTCTGAATTACAGGCTATTACACGGGGGTGGGGGTGGGGTCGGGGTGGGGGGTCTGAGGCTATTTGTCCGGATATTTTCTTTTTTCACCCGAATTTTCAGAATGAATCAATCATTAACTAAAACGAGCTATTTCATTTTACAATTATTCAATTATATTTCTATGATATAAGGTCTCATTCTCTGATGTTTGCGCCCGAAAAACGGAATTACATTTCCCGAAAAATGAATGGTTTTATATTTACTGAATCTGGCTGCAGATCTCCCCAGTCCCGCACACCTATATCACTCTTTACACGCCTAACCGTGCATTATAAAATTTACAATACATGTAGTCCGTTTAACATAATCTATTTCTTAGAAATACGAAACCTTCCTCGTCAGTGATACGTACACAATAAACTTGATATACAAATAGATCATACGATAAAACTAGGGGCGGATCCCAAGCGGACATTTCAGAATTTTCTATAAAATAGTGCAAACTATTTACATTTCTCCAACTTTTTTCTGTATTGTCATAGCAGAAAAGATACACCCATGTTCTGTAAGTATTAACGGCAATCCACTGGTATTGTAAATAGTTATTGAACAGTTTGAATCGTTTGAGAAAAAACATCTTAGATTTCTTCCAAAGGTCGATTGATAATTGTTATTTATTCAGTTTCCTCGATACACAAAACAGTATCCACAAAATATGGAGTCATTTTAATTTTAAATGGAACCTAGAAGATGTGCCCCCCCCCCCCGTTCAGCTACATTAAAAAAACAACACTTTTATGCGAAAAGTGTGACGGTCGTGTCCTTTATCATCAGATGGTGGGATGGGACGGGCATTCAATCAAAGCACGAGATAATGATATAGACATATGTGATATCACAATTAATGCTTTGCGTCACTGAAATTAATTCCTATTAATTCATAATAAAAAATGACGTCAAACTGGGTGTTTGATTTCTCTCTTTAAAAAGCTCAGTGTATATGAATGCCTGTGTAATAATTTGGACACCATAATAGCATATAGCATTGTAAACTGTCAAATGTCCTGAACAGGAATCTGGGAAACCCCCTCCTGAAAAATTCCTGGATCCGCCCCTGTGGTGTTCATATTGAATTTTATTACTTAATCTTTTAACAAATTAATCTGGAGAGTTGGGACGCCTCCGCCCCTCCCTAAAAGAAAAGACGTATGATATAATATCATTATTTTAATCCAAGCTTAACCCCGGGTCTGCTATTTAAATACCTGTCATATCTATATACACGTTTTTTATAGGTCATCCATTATACAGGTATGCATACATGTATTATTGAGTTGCTGTAGAGACACCCAAGATGGCGTCTAATCATAAACACTCCTGTTCGATTTGTTTGGATGATTTTACACAACCCAAGATACTTCCATGTTTTCACACTTTTTGTCAAGACTGTCTGGATGGTCATATCAAGGTACATACTCATCTCAACAAGTTCAACTGCCCAATTTGCAGAACAGAGACGGAAGTTCCCAAGGGTGGAGCCAGTGGATTTACAACAAATTTCTACATCGAAGACATCGACAATCAACAGACATGTCCAAAGCATAAGAAATTGTTGTTAGACTTGTATTGCCGTGATTGTTCAACACCTATTTGCTATAAATGTAATGTGATTGGCCATGAAAATCACAAGAAAGCTGACCTGGACGAAGTCGGCATAGAAGCTAGAGAAAAGCTGGCAACATTGAAACAGAAATTAGAAAAGGAGGTTAAAGAAATACTGTCATTTACTCATACTTTAACCAAAGAAATAACCAATATCAACAATTCAGCTGCTAGAGCCTGCGATGATGTTGATAAACAAGTGAAGAAGATCTGTAGTGCAGCGATAAAACAGGGCGAGGATGTAAAACAGGAAGTCATTAAAATACGAGATGAAGAATGTGAAAAGCTCCGGAAATTACAGGAAGAGTTCAACAAATTCGAAAATCAACTCCAGACCAGTGTACAATGTTCCGATGATGCTTTAAAGAGGGAGGCTACCATTCCAGTTCTAGATATTTTACACAAAGTCCAAACATTAGCAGATCACCACGCATCTAGAAGTCTCGATTATCCGGAAATACGATATCCAGATTTCCCAATGGTAGACATTGACCACCAGTCTTTAAAACAACAGCTGGGAGATTTACATGCGATTATCACAGGAACTTTAACATCCACATTTGATACGAGTTTAATGAAAGTAGAAAAATCTTACTACAGTAATGATGCTGAAATATTCGGATTGACGTGGTATTTAGAAATCGATTACCACGAAGGTAGACTGGATATTATTTTATATCTAAGGAATCCAGCAGAAATCAATAAGGACTTTGACATAGAAAGCAGTACAATAAAACTGATAAACAAAACAGATCAGAACAAGTCTGTTGTGAAAACAGACAACATCACTCCACATGAATTTAGATATAAAAAGAGTGGAATGGTTTGTTTCTGGTATGATATAATTAAACCTAACATCTTACTAAAAAAAGACAACCATTTTGTGGACGAAGAGAACACGTGTATACTACAGACAACCATTAAAATAAACCACCATATGAAGACACACGAATAACTTTACCACGTGGACTATGATGACTTGATCAGTGTATATTTATGATGTTGACCAGGACAAAATAATCTTTCTAGAAAATAACTTGCGTAGATAATGGTAAACTAATCATTTCAGAAATTGATATGATCATATTTGAAAATGAATTTTTTTAGAATGTATTCATAATGCTAATGATTAATGTGATTGTTCTGGAAAATGGATTATTGTAATTGTTAAATTGTAATATTCTGATTCCTACTTGAGAGAACTCAATCAATTCATATGGATGACACTTTTCCCATAAAGACGTTGAAGATGTTGTATATGTAACAAGTAATAGTGAAAATGATTTTCATACTGAAGGGGTTCCCTATTCATGATCACTAGCTGAATGTACAATTTGGCTTAACACAATTCACACAAACTAGATCATTTCGGGACTAACATATGGTTCAATTTTTATTTCAATAATTCGCTTGAGCGCAGGGATCTTTAGCTATAGGAGGAAATAGGCGCACCTGGAAAAAACACACGAGGTTCGACAGGCGTAACCATTCGGCCATCCAACCCCCTTTAAATAAGACTATTTCCACTTAACAAAATGGTTAATGTTAGGACATATTTGGGTAAACGTAGTTCCCTTGTCTTTAAGGGGTCAATTTAGGGTTATGGTTTTGAACGATCCACAAATTATTAAATTAAATACGGCGTACAGTTTGGGGCTGGACTGAACGAGACTATAACAATGACAAAGCATGTCGACGAGGAGCAGTGTTTAAGCTGCAGGTATAGCAATCTGATAAAAATACAGATCTATATTTTGTTTCGTTTTTTTATACTGTCGATGGCCTACACTACATGAAGATCTGACCGGTTGTTGTGATAGGTCACGTCAGAGGTCATTTAAGCGGCTTTCGACCATATGACGTCAGACATTTGATTAACCAATCACCATTGATGTTACTAGTGGATTACCCACAGTTCCGTGCAAAATACGCCTAAAGCTCGACTTTTAATTTCATTATGTTGTAAGTGTGTGTGCACACTAAGTTCACAACAAAATAGCAGGGTAATGACTTTGTGTGACTTTTAACAAGGTCGTCTCCTGTCTGATAGTGTCGCGGTTATCTCCCTTTTATTTTGGTCAATAAAGTACACGCGCCAAGTGGCATGTTTTGTTTCCGGCGTTGCATCATGACTCAACGAGAGGTAGATTGAACAAACTTTCTGGAATGAAAACTAATCGCTTTTACGATCTTCAGAAACAAAAGCACTTTATTTCATTCAGGAGGCAATATCATATTCGCTAGAAGGGGGGGGGGGTGTACACTTGTAGATCTAAATTTTTCGAAAAAAGTGGTGTAGAAGGGATGGGATTCGTTGCGGGAAAATCGTTTAAGCCTATAAGTTGAATATAAATCCGCTGCTGTTGTTGGTCATCACGGCCATATTAGAATTATGACGTCATATAAAAAATTGCAATTGACCAAGGAACAGGCAAGCCAAGTTGCATGTCGATCGTACTTCAACTGGCAGATTCCAAATGTCCGTGGTTCTTTTACGTGCACGCGAATATGTTCACGGGACCTCGGTTTTTGGTACAATCCTAACGACTAAACGTTGTTCTTTGCCAGACCCCACGTCCTGCACTACTAATAAGGGGGAACCACGCCGGTTTATCCTAATGAATGAACGAACGCGGGGCCTCCAGGTTAGCGAACCACCTCGGCTCCCTGTTTAACCCCCCCCCCCCCCCACACACACACACACCATTAGATAATGGTAGCATGTTTTAACCAGGTGTGGGGATATATCTTAGTACGTCTAATTTCCCTTTATAGCTCTCAATAACACGGCTATACCGTCAGTATATTGACCCTAGTGACGTCATCAGTTGTTACAGGCATCAAGCCACATATACTTGACTGATGTAGTTGTTTGTCGAGTTAAAAAGATTATTAATAATATAAATACTGTACGTAATAAATGAGAGAGAGAGAGAGAGAGAGTGTGTGTGTGTGTGTTTAACGTCCACTCGACACAAACTAGGTCATTTTGGGACTAACATGTGGTTCAATTTTATTTCAATAAATACTCTACGTGTGTGTGTGTGAGAGAGAGAGAGGGGGGAGAAGAGAGAGAGGGAGAGAGAGAGAGTGTGTGTGTGTGTGAGAGAGAGAGAGAGGGGGAGAAGAGAGAGAGAGGGAGAGAGAGAGAGAGAGTTTGTCGTGGTAAAAGAGAGGTTAAATACTGTACGTAACAAACACTATCACTCTTTACATGCCTAACCGTAAATTATAAAATTTACAATACATGTAGTCCGTTTAACATAATCTATTTATTAAAAATACGAAACCTTCCTCGTCAGTGATAAGAACACAATAAACTTGATATACAAATAGATCATACGATAAAACTAGGGGCGGATCCCAAGCGGACATTTCAAACTTTTCTATAAAATATTGCAAACTATTTACATTACTCCAACTGTTGTCTGTATTGTCATAGCAGAAAAGATACACCCATGTTCTGTAAGTATTAACGGTAATCCTTTGGTACTCTAAGTAGTTATTGAGACATTTCAATCGTTTGAGAAAACCCATCTTAGATTTCTTCCAAAGGTCGATTGGTAGTTGTTATTTATCAAGTTTCCTGGATACAGAAAACAGTATCCACAAAATATGGAGCCATTTTAATTTTAAATGGAACCTAGAAGATGTGTCTCCTCTCCCCCCCCCACCCCCGCTCAACTTCATAAAAAATAAAACTTTTATGAGAAAAGTGTGACGGTCGTGTGCTTTGTCCTTTATCATCAGATGGTGGAATGAGATGGGCATTCAAAGCGGAAAATAATGATATAGACATATGTGATATCACAATTAATGCTTTGCGTCACTGAAATTAATTCCTATTAATTCATAATAAACATTGACGTCAAAGTGTTTGATCTCTCTCTTTAAAAAGCTCAGTGTGTATGAATGCCTGTGCAATGTGGAGACGATGATGGCATAATGTATTGTAAAATGTCAAATGTCCTTAACAGGAACCTTGAAAACCTCCTCCTGCAAAAATTCCTGTATCCGCCCCTGTGGTGGTGTCCATACTGAATTTTATTTCTTAATCCTTTAAAAAATCAATGTGGAGAGTTGGGACGCCTCCGCCCCTCCCTAAACGAAACGGCGTATAATATAATATTATTTTAAACCGAGCTTAATCCCGGATCCGCCACTTAAATACCTGTCATATCTATATACACGTTTTTTATAGGTCATCCAATATACAGGTATGCATACATGTATTATTGAGTTGTTGTAGAGACACCCAAGATGGCGTCTAATCATAAACACTCCTGTTCGATTTGTTTGGAGGATTTTAAACAACCCAAGATACTTCCATGTTTTCACACTTTTTGTCAACAATGTCTGGATGATCATATCAAGGTACATACTCATCTCAACAAGTTCAACTGCCCAATTTGCAGAACAGTGACCGAAGTTCCCAAGGGTGGAGCCAGTGGGTTTACAACAAATTTCTACATCGAAGACATCGACAATCAACAATAAGAAATTGTTGTTAGACTTGTATTGCCGTGATTGTTCAACACCTATTTGCTATAAATGTAATGTGATTGGCCATGAAACTCACAAGAAAGCTGACCTTGACGAAGTCAGGATAGAAGTTAGAGAAAAGCTGGCAACATTGAAACAGAAATTAGAAAAGGAGGTTAAAGAAATACAGTCATTTACTTATACTTTAACCAAAGAAATAACCAATATCAACAATTCAGCTGCTAGAGCCTGCGATGATGTTGATAAACAAGTGAAGAAGATCTGTAGTGCAGCGATAAAACAGGGCGAGGATGTAAAACAGGAAGTCATTAAAATACGAGATGAAGAATGTGAAAAGCTCCGGAAATTACAGGAAGAGTTCAACAAATTAGAAAATCAACTCCAGACCAGTGTACAATGTTCCGATGATGCTTTAAAGAGGGAGGCTACCATTCCAGTTCTAGATATTTTACACAAAGTCCAAACATTAGCAGATCACCACGCATCTAGAAGTCTCGATTATCCGGAAATACGATATCCAGATTTCCCAATGGTAGACATTGACCACCAGTCTTTAAAACAACAGCTGGGAGATTTAAACCCCATCATCACAGGAACTTTAACATCCACATTTGATACGAGTTTAATGAAAGTAGAAAAATCTTACTGCAGTAATGATGCTGTTATATTCGGATTGACGTGGTATTTAAAAGTCAATTACTTTGAAGACAGACTGGATGTTGTTTTATTTCTGAAGAACTCAGAAGATATCAATGAGAACTTTGACATAGTAAATGGTTCAGTAAAACTGATAAACAAAACAGATCAAAACAAGTCTGTTATGAAAGTAGATAACATCACTCCACACCAAGTTGAATATCGAAAATTAGGAATTGTTTGTTTCTGGTATGAAATAATAGAATCGAATGACTTCCTGAATAAAGGCAACCATTTTGTGGACGAAGAGAACAAGTTTACACTAGAAACAACCATTAAAAAAAACTCCCATTTAAAGAGACTGTAGCATTCAATAAACCACCATATGAAGATACTTGAGTAACTTTACCACGTGGACCATAGCGAATTGATCAGTGTAAATTTACGATGTTGACCAGGACAACTAATTCTTTCTAGAAAATAACTTGCGCAGATAATGGCAAACTAATCATTTCAGAAATTGATATGATCATATTTGAAAATGAATTTTTTTAGAATGTACTGATAATCTAATGATTAATGTGATTGTTCTGGAAAATGAATTATTGTAATTGTAATATGTTGATTCCTACTTGAGAGAACTCAATCAATTCATATGGATGACATATTTTCCTTAAAGACGTTATATATGTTAGTATGCAAATACTGGTGTGATTTTCATACGAAAGGAGTTCCCTATTCATGATTATTAGCTGAATGTACAATTATGTGGTAATCTAAGTAGAGAGACAAAAATTGGGTTTAACGCCCAATCGAAAAAAATAGGTCATTTCGGGACTAACATATGGTTCAATTGTTTTATTTCAATAATTCGCTTGTGCATAAGGATCTTTAGCAATAGGAGGAAACCGGGTTCCCCGGTGAAAAGGTACGAGGTTGCACAGGCGACCCTACTCCTTGTCACGTACAGCCGGGGAATCGAAACGACGCCGTTTTGATGAATAACGCACCCCCTGATCCAACGCGCACGCGGTAACCCATCCAACCCGGTAATCTATGTATATTAAAATATTACAAAATAATAAATTTAAATATGACACCATCTTTATAACACGTTAAAATATTTTGTATATCTTGATCTAGTACTATGTATAGTGAGAACCGTGGGGCGGGGGCGATTTTCATGAATTCTAAAATATGTATGTAGAAATAATCCCCTCTGTAACACAAGCAAAAATGTTTAAAATTTATGTAAATCTTGTTGAAATCGTTGTCTATTCGCTATGAGACTAAAATCGTTGTTCTTCCCTCGTGTCAAGTCGCTATAGGACTAAAATCATTGGGACTTCCCCTGTGTCTAGTCGCTGCGGGACTAAAATCGTTGGTCTTCCACTCTGTCTAGTCGCTACGGGACTAAAATCGAGACTATCTGGGTAAAACTTACCCCACAGAACACCCATGGCGAATGAATGTCGTCATTAGCTCCGGTGATGCAGATTAGTAGGCCGTTAACCTCCTTGAAAACCATACGGCCTGTTATAGACAGAAGGAAGAA